CTTCCCCGCTCCCTTCCCCTTCCCCTGCCCCTTCCCTTTCCCCTTCCCTTTCCCTTTCCCTTTCCCTTTCCCTTTCCCTTCCCCTTTCCCTTTCCCTTTCCCTTTCCCTTTCCCTTTCCCTTTCCCTTTCCCTTTATTTTCCTTTTCCCTTTCCTTCCTAGATTGTCTCTATATCTTTAATAATCAGTGCCACAATGAGAGGATATCAGAACATGAGATGTCCCTCTCTAGCTTACAGATCCAGGTGATGCCGAACAGAAGCCAAGGGTCCTTGCCTGTGTGTCCACATTCTTTCTCCATCTTACTGTTTATTTCTTTCAGTAAGAATGAAGAAAAATAACCAAAAAAACCCTTGAAACAGAGGTTCGAGGCATCTGGGTATGCATCTGTTTTAAACAAAAATAGTCTAGTGCCCATCTTAAGATGCAGTACTGCATTATACATGAGGGTATTGCAGGCTAAAAGAAGGAAAATTGCAGGAACAATTTACAGTTGGCTAAGGATAGATTTTTACAGTGCTACAAACTCAGCTGTTTACTTAAATTTGACTGCACATGACATTTGAACATGTGTAGCCTACTGCTTTAAAGCAGAAGCAACTAAAGCTTTCTGGATATGAGAGCTGCACAATGGCAGCAGACTGACAGCACAGAACTATAGCTGGCCCTCAGTTAACTACTATCTTTTCTCGATGTATTGTGCAGTCTACAGCTGCTAAATGCTTGCATGTCTGTTCCATGTATCAGATTTGTATTTTTTGTTCTAACTGCCTTTACAAAAATCCTCTTTTCTTCTGTCGCAGGCTGGCATTTTGCCACATAAGGGTGACAAAAGTGTGAAGCATCTTACCAGAACTATGCATACAGTTAGAAGTAGACAAAATAAGTCATGGATATTGACTCATGACTCAACTATAGTCCATTAACCACTAGGTTAAGGATGCTTTTATCCATTTTCATAAAACAATGAAAAAACATAGTAAGCTCTGTTCCCTTCCTATATTTTAAGCATTCCGGTGTTACTCAGTTTTCTGAAGTTTTTATTTAGATTTGCATGAACCCAGCTTTGTCATTTCAAACAGAAGTCAAAACAATTCTTCCCCATGCACAGTTCTGTTTACAGAGTTTATGACTATTACCATTTCAGTTCCAGAGCCACTCTCATCCAGCCTCACATCTAGTTCCACCTCTGACCTGCATCTCTGTCTCCTCCCAGTCTTATCTTCTGGATAGGCACGAACAATACACTTTTAATCTCATACAGATGTCTCACTAGCATAATTATTTACTTAGTGTTCAAACACTGTGGTAATTGTGCTTGAGTAACTGAAAGAATTACAGGCACTTAAACAAAAAGGCCATCATGTTGGTAGTGAAACCCCATCCTGTTCAAGCAAAATGTCATTTTTTATCTACGTATATACTACACTGAAGGAAAAAGCATCTACATTTAAAAGTACCACTCAGTAACAATTTACTAATGATTTCAAAGACCATGACTGCATCTATTCAATGGCAACATGCCAAGTCACACTCTAAGAATTTTGGTTAAGAAGAAAAAGCTTTTCCTTTTACTTTAAAGATGTTAACTTCTATACAAAAAGCCACAGCCATACCTACTGCTATGCTGGGAGAACAAGGACATAAGTCTGTTTTTGAGGCCATTTCAGTCACTTTATTGCGTGTGGAACTTTACTGACTTGCATTGATTATCCTTATTCTGTTCTGGAATAATACCAGAGCCAGGCCAATAGTTCCTGACCTAACAACATTATACTGTATTTAGTCACAGCATGAAAATCAGAGGAAAAGAAGCACCTGACATATACAGGTTGATTATAAGGGTATGGGTTGATTTGCCATGCAAGGTAAATACTGCAAAGTTTAAAAATTGAATTCAGTTTTTATTGGCATAGCATGTATCTGTTGGCTATTGTTTCATTTCTAAATAAAACTAGTATGACAGAAACCAGAATAGACCACAAGATCTTTATTTAGAAAGCACGATAAAGAATATTTTTCCTGCCACACAAATGAGGGAGACAGAATGGCTTATGTTAAATTACCTCCACTGGCATGTGCCATTTTCAGAGCTTCAAGAGAAACAGCAGGGGTTATTTCTAGCTGGCAAGCAACCACTTTGGCTTTACAGATGACATCAGAAGCCCTCTTCAGGTCTTCAAAATTTAAAAGCAGGTTGGCTCCTGGGACTATGACAATAACGTTCTGTCCTAAAGAGAAAATATTGTGTTTTTTACATTAACATTTGCAATAAAGTATGTAAAACGATTCCCTGCTTTTCTACAATACATTTCAGATGAGTGTTTCAATTTGCTTTCCAAAAAATCCCCATTAAAAATGTATGCATTGCTGACATTTCCAAGTGTTGGATATTTTTATGAACAGCTGGGCAGCGTGCTGGGCCATCTTGTCTAGACTGTGTTTTTTCAAAGAAATGTTGGACCAGCTGATCCTTGAGGTCCCTTCCAACCTGGTATTCTATGATTCTGTGAAATAACTGAAGATTTTGTAAGATAATCAAAAAGATTGTCAGACTAATGAACACTATGCCACACAACAAATGCAGTATATATTCCATTGGGAAAAGGACCAGCTGATCCTTGAGGTCCCTTCCAACCTGGTATTCTATGATTCTGTGAAATAACTGAAGATTTTGTAAGATAATCAAAAAGATTGTCAGACTAATGAACACTATGCCACACAACAAATGCAGTATATATTCCATTGGGAAAAGTCACATATGAGCTTTCACCAGTCTTATTTTGGTGTTTTCTATGAACTCTAAAGATGCACTGTACTAGTCACAGTGGCTATGGGGGAACTTACATTAGAGCTGATATTTCATAGAATCATAGAATGGTTTGGGTTGGAAGGGACATTAAAGATCATCTAGTTCCAACGCCCTGCCATGGGCAGGGGCACCTTCTACTAGACCCGGTTGCTCAAAGGCCCATCCAACCTGGTCCTGTTTTGTCTCCCCCTTTCAGTCAACACTTTGTCAGCATCACTTTGTGTTTGAAAAATATCCCCCAAGTTCTTTCTTATTCAATCCAGTTTCATTTTCCTTCTCAAGAAAATAGAATGAAGCTATTACTTCTTGTGCACATAGCTGCCCTACCGCATTTTACATACCTCGTCAATACCGAGCACCAGGACGGCAGGGGACACAAGTGATGGGGCAATTTACATTCTCCTAAAATATGCCAGTAGCACTTGGAAAAGCATCAATGTGATTACTGAGTTCATATGCCAAAAATGCCATAAAAATTTTAAATTTTCCCATCATCTGGGACTAGAAGACTATTTCCCACAGCTATGAAAATTATGCATGTTCTATAGATTTCAGAGCAGCATGCTTGCCCCACTTACCTGTGACACTTCATATCAGGGCCCCTAACCATCATGAAAACCAGAATCAGCTAGTCACAAAACCCCAGAAAGGTAATGCCTGTGTCTAAGGAAAGCTTTATCAGGAGTGAGTAAAGAAAGTGGGTGACGCATTCTACTGCACTTAGAGATGGCCAGTAGAATGGTCTAAGCAAAGCTACAGGTGTGGATGCACAGCAGTATCTCAAAGCTTGTCTAAGATCCTTTTAATTCTCATAGTTTGTTTTACAGTTAGGTGAGGAGGGTCATTTACGTAGGTTCCAAATATTCTTTTGTTTTCCTTCAGACATGCAAGTTGCTTCCTTTTATTGCAGTTTCTTTCTTTCATTCTTTTTTTTAATCTCTGTTACAACACCCAGAGACCTTCAGGCATAAAAGCCTTCAAATTAAAATTTATTATTAATCACTCAGGTATTAAATTCAATAAGTCAGTTGTTCCTTGATTTACAGGCTCAGCCCGCCCCCGCTGAAGATTCCTTTAAGGACTGCCAATCATTAAAGGCTACCAATTCTGTAATGAACTGAATTACTCTGTAAATAAATATTTATGTTTTTAAATACATTATTTTTGTTGAATGCGACTTCAAAGTCCTTTGAATAAGAAATGTGCAAAGCTTGTCTCTGTAAATATGTTCTGAAAAGAAAGCAGGACAATGGAAAGAATAATATAGTGATCTCAGAGGGAGGGGCCGAAGCTTTCCAAAGCAATTCTGCTGTCAATGGTTTGGTACAGAACAGCTGCATATGAAAAGCAAAACCTCAGCATTTAAAGCCAACGCCCTGCTTTTCAACAGACAATGATGGGCATCTCGGATTAAAAAAAAAAAAAGACAAAGAAAAAAGAAAAAGCCTTCTGCAACAAGTAAATGTTACCAAAGATATCTGAACCCTGTTAAGGGAGCATTCAAAGGCAAGTTGCACCCTATTTTGAAAGCTTATAGGGTGCAGCAGTGCAAACAGTAAAAGGCAGGAATCAGTGGAACAAAACCACGTATCATTTCTGCCTGGACTCTGTGCTGCCTAGAATCTCAGACTCTATCCACATGTCTTGCTGCATTATCTTGCTGAACTATTTAGCTGTACTGACATGTATATTATTATAAGACTTTAGAGCTAATGGTCCAAGGCAATAAGGAAGGCTGTTTGCTTAAACCCGTATGATGTACAAATTCAAGGTAGACCAGGCTGTACTGGATCACAGTCAAGCTTTTCTTTGCAACTACAAAAGGTCAGAGACTTAAAGTCTGCTTCAAACCTGCCAGGGAAATGCAGCACCTACTGTGGTACAACAGTCCGGACGGGCTTCACCCAAGCTGGAGGGAAGTACCCACATTCTGTTCTTAGCTACATACACCACACTAGCTGTGAATGACAGCACTCACCACAAGCTTACACCAGTGTGCATGAAAGCAGAATCTGGACCCATGCACTCATAATTAATACCAGAATTTTGCATTACCAGCAACCATTTTGTTGAAAGCAATTACTTCTTGCCAGGGAAATCAGATGGGAAATTGGCACCAGGGACAACCGAGTTAAAGACAGATGGCAAAGAGGGGTGGGATTCATCTTGTCCAACATTGACTAATTTTTAAAGTTCAAAAGAAAAATCTTCATTCTAGGAAATTCAAAGAAAATTGATTTCTAAAAAATAGTTTCCTAAGTCGTTCAACAAGGAGGAGAGACAAATATTTTCAGAGTTTTTATAATCTTACATATCTCAGATATCTGTTTGATGAGGAGATAAACTATTGTCCAGAAATGCCTATGTACCTCTGTTAACTCTAGGGGAAGCCTTAAGCCATACACCTAATTTTGAAACAGCTCAAGTGAGGTTAAATGTTACCCACACTAAGAATGAGAAAAATACACTGACTGCATTACCATTAATTCTAAAAGATCTTTACTTAAACGAAAAATTTGCGCTTTTAATGGGAGCATCTGTATCATTTTAAGTTTTGCAGACGTCAGCTAGAACATTAAGGGCCACATTCACAGTTGCTATAAGCTAGCATAGCTAAATGAAGCTGATAAGCTTGTGGAAGCTTACACCAGATGGGGACTGGGTCCAATCAATACTTTAAACAGTGTGAATGCTGTCCTCAGTTGGGCTGCTTAACCTGCTACTGTCACTTCTTAGAAAGGTGGGCAAGTCAAGCTAGATTTTTTTTACAAGTGCCATTTTATAGATGTCACCAGATGAGATGTGCCACCAGAAAAATCAAAGGCAAACCGTATACAACACAGTGTAATAACCATCACTTTTTAAAATGGATGGCAAGCTTAAAGCCATCAGTAGTGCTTAGAACTCCCCAAACTCTCAAACAATGTAATTATAACAATAGCTATGGAGCTTCTGCATAATAATAAATTAATAAATAAAGATGATACTTGTGACCAGAAAATAAGGTTACATGAAAAACATTTGCTGCCAAATCACACAGTTCATGAATATGAGGGCAAGTTTTGGGTGTGTCATGGTATCACAATTTCTATGCAATTACTTGGAGGAACCATTGTGTAGTCTTCTACACAAAACATTTAAGTTCATGAGGACCATCAATACATAGTTATTCTATAAAAAAATTCGGTGACATTTCTTCATAACCCTGAAGGTTCAAAACAAAGATTTTCTCTTTGGAAAGTATAATTCAAACAAGCTGTTATATGTATTCTAACTTTGCCTTGTTCATTTAGCCTTATCTAAATATATATTTTGAATGGTTTTATACTAGTAGTGCTTTGGTATTGAAGGTACACTCACCTACAAAATAATGCCTATTTACTGTTCATGAATCATTAATAACTTTATCGTAAAGTCAGCACAATGCCTATCCCAAGTGAGGGTTATCTCACAGTGTTCTGTGTAGGTGAGCTCTAAGTTCTAACTTGCAATAATCAAGAACACTTTAATCATGACCTGCCAGTCTCTGTTGTCCCTCCATTTAACTTTTGCTATGAACATTGAAGTTATCAGACCAGTTCAAACTATTGGTCCAGTCGGGCCAGCTTAATGGCACCATCAACAGTTACTACTAGATTCAGACAAAGCTGCGACAAACTTCAGAGGTCATCATGTGTAAATTTATCTATAAAGAGGGGTTTTTTTCCCTATAAGTGTTCGTAGAAGTACAACACACATCTTCACTTCATGATGCCCTTACCACTCAATAGCACACTGTCAGCAGAAGGTGTGCTAAGTGACAGAGCTAGTGGAAAGGTGGCGGGCTGAGAGAGGAAACAAAAGCTGGGGTTCAGAGTGATGTGATTCACTTCAAAGAATGTGTTAAGAAAAGCAGCTGGATGTACCAGCTTTTCTCCTTAAGAGAGAAAGTACAGGTTCCAAGTGTACTGGATCCTGGTAAACAGAAGCTTGTGTTTAGTCAAAATCTACCTGAAGAGGCAATTGCATAAAAGAGGAGCAACTAAAAGGAACATGAGGTTCCAGAAAGATTCCTGGACAGATTTCTGAGACCAGACCAGAGGGAACCTTTGCAGTGTCTCTGGGCTGCATATTTTCCAGTGCAGCATTAGAAACTCATTATACATCTCTCCACCATTTTGCATTAAAGCAGTGATTTAACCTCTCTATTTTTTGTTGAATCTATACTGTATTGTCCCAGAATATAACATAACTTTGAGAATACCAAATGTGCCTGGTAAGTGCCAAATTTCTACTACCTTGTTAATTAGAGTAATGGGTGAGTTATAGCTGTGCAACCAGCAAAAAATTTCCCAGAAATTCAGCAGCACTGGCTAGACAGATGCAGGTAACAGCCTCCGACTCTGCTCTCTACAGCTTTCTTTTCTTCTGCATTCACTCATCCATCATAGTCTGCTCCCTCTACTTGAGTATCTCCCCTACTTCTGCCTGTGATTTAACTCAGTTGATTGGAGCTGGTATTTCTCTCAAGTATCGGTACTTGTAAAGAACTGGTAAGCTGTAAGTGCAGGTTGGGGGTGTGAAAACACAGCAATTAAAACTTGGTGATTTAAAGAGATGATACCTGTGGTTTTTATTTGTCCTTCACTGACTTAACACAAAACACGATCCCCATCCTCAACTTCAAATGCTTCCCTTTTAGGTATAATTTGAAGTAGCACAAACTACTTTACATCAGTGCATTGAATACTGTGGTGTTTCAGCTATGCCAGCACAACTACTGTGGTAAAACATGCATGCGTAGACAAGCCCTCTGAAAAGTGCTGTAAAACCTGTTTAAGTCAAATCAGCCAGGTTTCTACACGAAAAAAAAAAAAGGTGTCTCTTGCAACAGCAAAGCACATAAGTATTGCTATTTTATTGCAACTTACGCAATTCAAGTGCCAGATGGTTTTACAGAGAAGTTACAACCAGAACCATTACTAATTCTGTGCATCTGTTTGCTTTATAGTATAGTTCTGATCAGGTTTGCTCTTCTACTAGATTCTAAATGAAATCTGAAGCCAGTGGTAACTTAATTAAGGATTTTTCAGTTTCTCAAAGAAAGAAACTACATATCATTGTGCATTATTCATCTTACTGTGTGAATTGCAAGACTATCATGGACCCTTTACACCAACACTAACATGTAAGATAGCCTACAGTGAACTTCGTGCCACTGAACAATCAGTTTCCATTCCTGATGTTTATAAAGGTTTTAGATCCACAAGATGGTTTTGTTCCTTAGCCCTCAGAAAGATTCAGAGTGTTATAATTTTAAGAGGTCATACTCTCCTCGTTCAAGTTTAGACTATGTCTATCTTAGCTGGCTATGCATGTGGATCTGGAAGTAGTAAGACTGCTTCTTGCTCAGCTATTCTGGACAGCAAACCTAGTGCAAATTACAGTTACATGTACAGAACAGTGAGGTCTGAGCGCATGCTACTTCATTCTCATAGTCTCTCCTATTTACAATGGCAAGAGTAGTGACTGTATGTGGCGTAAGAGAGACCTTCTTAAGAGTTGCTGTGGTAATTTATCTGGTGAGGTAAACCGAGAGAAGGGGGTGGAAATAAGAGACAGGTATCCAGTTTACTCCGTGCATTAGAGCTACCTTATTTCTGAATTAGAGCTGTCATGTAAGGCTTTGATTAATCTTACTTAAAGAAAATTAAACTGACATCTCCAACTAATTTGCCTAATTTTCTGAATGTTCCTGTGTAGACTTGTCTTTAGTCACAGTTCCTCCCCAGGTCTGCTCCTGGAGTGAACAGCCATGTCTCCTTTCCCACTTTGAGCAGTAGCCCAATGTACTACCATTAGGTTACAAAGCTTGTTAAATCAATGTGTAGCTAAACTATGGTAACTGTTCAAATGAAGCCTCTTAGCTGAACTGAAAGCAAATTAATCCATCCAATCACACTTAATTTGTTATGTTTTCTTAACCAGTATTGGTCCTGAGCTCTACATTTTGATTCAGACACATGTACTTCTCCTAAGAGCTCTCAATGGCACAACTTGCTTGAGGAAAAGATAGAAAGAAAGTTTTCAGAGGATAATTTGGCAATCTTGAAGAAGAATATGAAAACAAGCCAAATTTTCTTTTCTTCTTCCCCTGCAATATGACAGCAAAGGCACAGACTGAAGAAAATTAACATAGAAAAACCACGTATGACATTTCACTGTGTATTCATCACTGCAGATGTAACTTGGGATCAAGAATTGTGGTAATATTACAAGATCAACATAAATATTTCTACTTATATAAGGACAATTACTTTTCTGATTCAGGGCATAATGACTCTGTGCTGAAGAGGGAAACCCTTTCCTCACAGGACAAGAAGAAATGGAAATGGCCTCAAGTTGAACCAAGGAAGGAAGGTTTAGATTGCACGTTAGGAAAAATTTCTTCACCAAAAGGGCTGTCAAGAATTTGAATGGGCTGACACAGGGAAGTGGCTTAGTCACTATCCCTGGAGGTCCTTAAAGGACCTGTAGATGTGCTGCTTAGGGACATGGTTTAGCGGTGGACTTGGCAGTGCTAGGTGAATAGTTGGACTCAATGATTCTAAAGGTCTTTTTCAACCTAAATTACTCTATTATTTTATAGCAAAAGTGCTAGGTAAGTTGTAGTGGAAATGGAGAGCTTTAACCTTCTGCTACATCATATGCTCTGGCCAATGTAAAACTGCAGAGATCAGCTGGCTGGTTGAATTATGGCTATCACACTGCTAATCTAAGTGTTTGATTTCTGCCACTTTTAGGCACCTCATCCTGTAACATTGTCTGAAATAAAAGGAAGTTCCACAAAGTATGAATAAAATAATGAAAATTAAGAAAGATGTAGAAAAAATAATTCCACGATTAACAGTGATAAGGCAAAGGTTTCTTTTATTGCTGTAGAGGCAGAACAAAGAGGACAATTCAGAGTAGAAATATGTACCTTCACTGTTGACAATTATTGAAGCAGTTCCAGTAGCAGCATCTGCAGTCTGACCTACAAATGCTAAGGAAGAGAAAAGTTACAGCATGCATTAGTTCAATACATTACTTTCAACCAATAGCATGTGATGCAGTTTAATTGAATTAAATCTAAAATGAACTCATAACCTCCAGTAATTTAAAAATGCTAATTACTCTTTCATGTGCAACAATGCCAGAGAAGCTAACAACAACAAAAAGTGTTAATTTACACCCACAAAACAGAAATGCGAGTCCAACATTCTTTAATTTGGCTACATCTCTGCTTTAGAGAAAGCATGTTATTTATATAGCCTTCTCAGGCACTCTACTCCTACGTGGAAGTATTTCTTTTATCCAATGAAACAAAAGAGTCAAGGCTGAAGAAAACAAAAATATTAAAACAACACAGCATTTAATTCTGTGTAGATTTGCATTTCAGCAGTAAATTTAACATGTGCTATAAAAGCAGCGGTGAGGCTATGTTTCCTCTTTGGATTATTATTCAGCTAAATTAACTAGAAGTGAGGCTGGCAGCACTGCCTGTTATAAAGATCGTTCCATATTTACTACTATAAGAACCTGTTTTCATCTGTCAGCAAATTTGTCAAATATTAACCAGTGGTCTGAAACTTTCTATGATAGGTGAATGAGTTTTTTAGGTAGAACTGTAGTAGAAAACTGTCAAAACAGTTAAGTTGTTTCCCCCTCATAAAAAAACAACCTTGTATTTGAGAAAAATCTACTATTTGAGACAAATTCTGCTGACCTTCTGTTTAAGAAGCTCTGGTTTTCTAACATTTTAGAACATGTACTTGATGCTGGGCAGAAGTTGGCTTCTTTCTTAAGATGTGTCTTTTGCGGCTAATTTAAAAAACTGCTCAAATTTGAACAAGGCTGAAAAAAAACGTAACATCACGCTCATTCAGGTTTGCTGAAGTATTTCAGGTAGTTGTCCTGAAGGTACCCTTATCTAGCTCAGAGTTACAAGGGTCAGAGCAGAACTTTCTTTGCTTCTTTTCACCATGAGCTAGGTCTGCACACTGGAATTGAAAACCTTTTATCTTCTGTGCTCTCAGTGCTCTTCCTGCAGAAAATAAGCAGCATGAGCTGCAAGCTATCCAGTTTGCATCGGTAAAGGTCTAAACGGTCTGAGCAGCACTGGTAGCTGATTGTCGTGGAAGTTGTGGACAACAAGAAGAGTAGGAAAAGAAAATTGAGAAACTGAAATTGGAAAGAAGAAGGGTAAGATGATACATTAGGAAATAGAAAAGTGATTTGAAGAAGACATACAACAGGGATCCAGGATATGAAAGTGGCAGAACTGGCAATATAGCAAGGACTTTCATCCAGCACCCAGCATCTTTATGTATAACAAGTGGGATAGGCTAGACAAGAATGAAACTGAGATGAAAAGCCAGTGACTGAAATAAGACAGTCCTAAGCAAAAATGTCTGTGCACAATGAATCACCCTTGCCTGTAAATCTTGGAATGCAAGCTGGGATCCTGGACCAGCATCACCAGCACTACATCCTATCTTCCTCCAGGGCTCATCAACATAGAGGGTGACAATCTAACACCATTCTGAGATATCTTTAACTCAATTAGCAGAAATTGGTAACTTGGACCTAAAAGTTCCAACTCTTCATTTGATCTATCTAGGTATCAATGAAGTGTAGTATGATGGAATTCCTGGTTTTTTTTCCCTTCACTTTTTTTTTTCTCCTATAAAGACTACTCAAAAATCTATGTTAAGATTGCCAGATCAATCATTTAAATCAGAAAACGTAAGACTTAAGGTTCCATGTGGAATATACATTTTCATTAAGTGCTATGCATTATAATAGCTTTATTTATATGATCAAAGCCTTTATTGATGAGGCAGGCATGCTTTGGAGAGATTTATGACTGTACACTAACAGACATTGTTTTTATGGTGTCCTTGCTTGGTTTCTTGCGTAAGCTGAAAGATACACAATGAACAAACCTGTTATACATTGGTGAAATATTTAGATGCTATACTGATAAGCCTAATAAAAAAGCCCACAAAATACTGATAGTTCTGTCTTTAAAGCAGGATTTGAATAGTGCAGTAAATGAAACTTGTGGCTTAACATTAAACAGAAAAGATAAACAGAATATTGAATTGCCACTTAATGATTGCATCTGCCCATCCTTGTCCACCCTGAAGAAGACAAGTCATGCAGACAAAAATCATAGAATCATAGAATGGTTTGGGTTGGAAAGGACCTTAAGATCATCTAGTTCCAACTCCCCTGCCATGAGCAGGGACACCACACACTAAACTATGTTGCCCAAGGCTCTGTCCAACCTGGCCTTAAACACCGCCAGGGTTGGAGCATTTACAACTTCCTTGGGCAACCCATTCCAGTGCCTCACCACCCTCATGGTAAAGAACTTCTTCCTTATATCTAATCTAAACTTCCCTTGTTTAAGTTTAAACCCATTACCCTTTGTCCTACCACTAGAGTCCCTAACTAAGAGTCCCTCCCCAACATCCTTATAGGCCCCCTTCAGATACTGGAAGGCTGCTATGAGGTCTCAACGCAGCCTTCTCTTCTCCAGGCTGAACAGCCCCAACTTTCTCAGCCTGTCTTCATATGGGAGGTGGTCCAGCCCTCATAACATCCTCGTGGCCGTCCTCTGGACTTTCTCTAACAGCTCCATGTCCTTTTTATGTTGAGGACACCAGAACTGTACACAATACTCCAAGTGAGGTCTCACAAGAGCAGAGTAGAGGGGCAGGATCACCTCCTTTGACCTGCTGGTCACGCTTCTCTTGATGTAGCCCAGCATACAGTTGGCTTTCTGGGCTGCAAGCGCACACTGCATGTGATCATGTAGTCCAGCAGCACACAATAATACATTTACATAAGAGAAAGAATTATGGTTACGAAGATGCAAAGATAGCTAGAATATTGTGAATGTTTAATTTTCCCTTTTCTTCAAAAGCTTTTAACATTGATTTTTGTGTGTATGTGTGTTAACAAACATCGGCTGCAGTCTCTAAAATGACTGCACGTGTCATTTCACAAAATAGAGGTGAGATGCACTGAGTTGACAAATGCATTTCCACTCTATCCTTCTGTACCCAACATGAAACTGAGAATGAATAACCAGACTGGATTTTCCAGTTTCTCACGAGGCATTATCATCATTAATGCCAGCCTAAACAACTGCGTAACACCAAGATATCTTCAGGTGACTTCCACTGATGTTATCAGCTGAGATTTAGAGGTAATAACACTACATTTTATTTTTAGTGGTACAGCTGATTTCAGAAGTCCCCATATTCTCACCTATACACATTCATTCCTGCCAGTTGTGTCAAAACAATTATTCATAATTCTGAATTGCAAAACACTTCAAATAAGGCAATAAAATAAGAAACCCTCCACTGCCAGTTTTTAAAGCTTAAAAGGAATACAAAAGGTTCCTTTAAAATAAATTTTTACCTGTAGAAATACCATTCTTCTTCAAGTTTTCAACATAATCATTGCCAAAGGAATCCTTCCCAACCTATTCAAAAGATAATAGGATAGGTTTTCTCTACAGAAAGGTGAGAGGATAGATAGATCATCTTTACGCAACAGAATCCTCTAATGTAATCAGAACACAACACTTTCTTTTATGCAGCACTTTGCCTTATTAACAAACCAATAATTAACTAATAAATAATAGTAAATATATATTAATAGTATTAATAAACAATAGGAATAGTGTTCTGCAGTTTCTGCTCCTGTATTACAAAACTACCCCCTACACTGAAGCTTTCTTGGGATTGTAGAATCTGGAAAACTACTGAATTATTCAGCTTCAAATTTAAAGCATTTATAGTAATTCTGGTGTCCTTTTAAATTGCATTTAATATTTTGAATTTTCTACTTCAAGTTTCCTCAGTGGAAAAATATCAAATTGTCCTTATAGGACAAAAAGTGACGATAAACATGGCATCACTGATTTCTGTAATTCTTAGCACTTAATGTACTGTTTACAAATTCAACAATTTTTGGTTGCTTTATCCAGCAACAGTGGATTAAGTTGAGTTGGGGAGTCAAGCTATGCTCTATTGTTTTTCTAACAGCAAGCTAAAGAGCTCGTAATTTCAGCTCCACTAATCCTTTTAGCTGAGCAGAATTCTGCTTGCTGTTTATTCAGACTAATAATATTTTTTTTGTAACGTTGCACAAGCTGAACAAAGGAGCTGAGGTATATACAGAAAAAAAAAGGTGTAACTTGCCTAATGTCAAAATAACATTTAAAATATATTTAGAAAGCCAACATAGTTTTAAATTCACCACTTTTAGTTTATGTCTTCAGCATGCATAGTGTGCGCTCCCACTTCCAAGAGTGAGTTGTGTATCTGAGTGGTACCAAAGACTGACAGGAAGTATTTTTGCATGAGAAGAAAAAACATCTTTCAGATTAGAAGCCAATCAAGATTCTGGTCACGGTCTAGACAATGAAGGAATTACATGGGAAGCCCTAACTAATGATCCATCTTCTCAAAAACCAGCACTAAATAGCTAATGGTGTATTTGAGTTACTAGAAGCACAACCCAGCTGCTTCTATTGCCTGCTGTTAGAAATTTGTCTGCTCATGAACTCAGTCCTTTAGAAAGCTCAGAGAAGACCTGAGTACTAGCTAGTGACCACAACAATCAAACCCTGCAATTCAGAATTCTAAAATTTAAAGTGTCATGGATGGATGGTCCTTCCCCCACATGCTCTATTGCACAACCATGTTTTGAAACACACTTTCATTTCCTACAACCTTTATAAGGAATTTTTCTAAAGCATAATTAGGGATGGTCCTGATCTTTTACCAAATGAGGACAGCAATTTAGGTCAAAACGGTCTAAGCAGACGGAACATTCCTCTAATACATGGGGAAAAAAAATCCAACCAACAACATTTACTTGGGTCACTGTGTTATTCATTGTTTGCACATTAGAGTATTTCTGTATCTCTGACTACTCCCAGTTTGCCAGACAGGGCGGGTTGTCAGAAACTGCATCTTCTGACTGCTTTAGGCTGGATGACTGCAGCCATTTGTGATTTCAACCTGAGCTGTGCTCACCTCTGCAGCCTAATGGTTGTACTACTGGAATGCATTCTGCCTGATGGTATCACCTTCTCCCTGCCTTGCTGCTACAGAGCTTCTACAGCAAATCTCAGAATTTGCTCAGTTATTTCAGCAATAAAATATTTCATAACAAGTTTCCAAAAGCTCAACTGAAACTTCCTTCCTTCAGCTCTGGGTCCTACATAACTGACAAACAGGCACCCCGTATTGTTCAACTGTCATAACAACTGAGATCAGCCGTGGTACTTTTGCCCACAGCAAGACATCTCAGCGCTGGAGGGAAGCCCTTGGAGGGGTCTCCATGGAGGTCCTTTTCCTCTGGAAACTTTTTTCCATGTTAGTTCATCAGTATGCAACCCAGTTAATCCTAGTGCGTTTGACGGGCTTATCTTTCCATCCAGGCTTTACCCCCAAGGAATTCAGAGTATTGGGCATCAGTCTTGTTTTAGATTAAAAGCATAGTTACTGACCATGTCAAATTATGTAAGATTGTTTTAAATATTTTCTGCTTTTGCACAGTCCTTGCTAGATGGACTATTGGGTAAACATTAAAAATAAATGTCTTGATCTGCTGACCACAGAACATTGTATGTGCTGAAATGGCATTTCTTCTTTTTTGAGTTCTTAACAACAAGCTGTTTGTACAAGCATTATGGTCACATAGTTTGCATATTAGAACAAGTGGAATTCCATCAGTATTTTTTCAGTCTGTTTTTTTCCTGCTCACCATCATGTTTTCCATGTGGAGCTAAGAGACCTGGCTGGCATCATAGCAGCTAAAATTCTAGCAGCTGAGAAAATCAAACTCATCTGTACCTGAAAATTAACTGCAATAAAATCACATACCTCTTAATAATTGTTTGTTTAATCTGTTCTATATGCTCTTTTTTCTTCATTAGGGAACTAAACAGGTACTATAGACTAGTATAAGATGGTAATACAAAAGGAAAAAACAATTGAAGATATCCATCGTATTCTTGGCTGTGTCTGAATATTGCTATGATCTTACAATGAAGTGAAGGCTTACAGCACTTGAATTTGGTTTAGAGATCATTTAAAGAGAGAAGCCTACACAGCATGGTAATACAGCTCTTCCTGTTCCTAAGTAGGAATCAAATGGAGCTAGGATTTAAGTATAATTTAGTATGTGCATTATCAGGCTAGTGACATCTATGTCCAGTGAAGATGATTCTACGTTGTTAGTCAGAAGTAAACCAGGACTATTTCAGCACATGCAATGCCTTTCAGACCAACATCCCTCCACCGTCTTAATCCAGGACGTTTAATTAGTCTTTTTTTTGTAATGGCTACTAAAAGGGAAAGAAGGAAAGAAAAAAAACCCAACAAAAAACCCCAAACCAAACAAACATTTGGGAGTTTGGAATTTCTCAGGACCACTGTGCATTTTTCAGTACTGCAGCAGGGTTCTTGCATGAACATGAGCAATTAATTTATTTGCTTACTTCCTTTAGTTCCCTGACAGTAGTCCTTTACTTTTCTCTGAACAACTGTCTTTGTCTTTTTGAAGTGGCAATTATTCCATCAATGTTATTCTACTGTACTGAGTAAATTGAGGAGGGGAGTTTAAGACTGATACTGTGATACATATTGATGATCCAGAGTAACAGTGGCTACTTGCAGAGATCCAGGCAGAACACTGTTTGCATTTCCACCACTCAAACTCAGTACTTGATTTTACATTAAAATCTACAGCATTCTGTGGCATCTCTAGACATAATTGTAAGTCATTCTAAACTCCCTCTCTCAAACCCTCACCAGATAGTCACTGGCTCTCTTTTGTGTTTTAAAGCTCTGAGGTATGAAGAGTGCCTTGTCATTTGATCTGTCTGCTGCTACTCTTGCTGAGGACACCCTCTGTCTAAATTACAGTCCTTGCAAGAGGATGCCACACTCCAGCAGAATATCCCTCTAGTATCAATACCAATTTTATTCTGTGAGCTTCAGTATGTAGAAGGAATTGTTACATCTGTACTGGATAATAAATGTTGGGAACTATGACCAAAACATAAGCATATTACTGAGCACTGTGTGTAAGGGGAAATCTGGCTTTAAGAACCCCCGAATACTTATGATGACTTGTTAAAGTAAAGATAATTTAATTGTAATGGCTCATTACTGCCTGACTCTTCTTAGTTTACTCAGCAAGAAATTTTATACTACTTCCCATTGACCTATGCAGATACAAGACTGTACTGCCATGGGATAAGACTATTTTGGGGGGCTACAAAGTGCGTATTTAATTCAGAAAGTAAATATTAATTTTTAAAATCTAAAAAGAAGACAAAATGCTAGCATGGATATTAATAGTCAATCTCTGCTGTTTCTTTTCTCCGATAAATACACATCAGAATGAAAGAAAGAAGACTGGGTTTTACTGAAATAACATAAATATTTTTTTTTAAAGTAATTAGAAATTATAGTAACTGCTAGATTTTATTAGGAATGCAAATGTTTCCAGAAACATGTATGCACTGAGCAAAGGCTAGACCATTAAAAAATAAAACAAAATTCACACTTTCAGCGGAAAAAAACCCTGCTAACATTTAGCAGGAAATGTTAGCAGGGAATTCATTGCCAGTTCATCTTGTTCTTGAATCTGATCATTATTGAATGCAAAGATGATCAAATACACACAGTATTACAGAAGCACAAACATTGCCAACATATATATATCTGTAAAATTACACTGTAGAATGACTAGTGATAATGATCCACAGAAATTATTGCTTATAGCAATACAGAAATTTAGACTTATAGCTAGCATTCTTCAGCTTAAATATCGTGTTGGAAAACCAGTGAGAAAGGCTTCTTTGAGATGCTTCCAGTATTTCTCAAAAAATCCCTGACAGACAATGATCCAACAAATTTAGCATCCTCCCCAGCTATGGCAATAACAAAGTATGTCCAGTCAATTTGAAGTTTCATTTACACTTGGCACAGGATGGACAATAAGTCTACAGAGAGAGAAAATTTGCTCTTCACTTTAGTAATGATCACTCAAAACTTGTAATGTTTAATGACAAAAATAAAACAAAATCATTGTAAGAATATAGCATCTGCCAAGCTGAATCAGCCCGATGGTCTGTGAGCCAGCCTTTAGAACTGCTGTATATTAGATGTTTCAGAAAAGTGGGCAAAAAAATCCCATAGCATACAAAGGTGTTAGAATTTGGATGTGAATATCTCATCCTAGTCTCACGTAATGAGATAATGATTAAACCCTTGAAGCACAAAATTTTACATTGCTTCTCAAAGCTGTTACTGGCTTGTCAGTGTCTGGTTTTTAATCACTTACAAAGTAAATTTCAGATTGACTATAGTGCCTAGCACCTGAATGTCATTGAAGAAGCCCTGATCTTTGTAACAGTGGTGAATATAAAAAAAGGGGCTAACCAAGATTACTTGAATTTTGAACATCTCAAACTCTCTCCCATTCTCTTTTCCACGGTACATCAATCTTAAGTTTCGCAATCCTTCTTTATACGCAACTTCTGCCAGATCTCTAGCCAACTAGTCTTTGGTTCTGGCAGTTTTCTTAGAACAGCCTCCTCCATGCTTAAATTTATAGCTGAAATAAGGAAAAGAAGAGAAAATTAGAGAGGGATTAAAAAAAAAAAAAAAAAAAAGAAAACCCAAAACCACGAGGAACTTTCTGTAAATCACCTAAAGGTTTACTGGAATTTGCTTAAACATTTAGTTCAGCTGTAATGCAAGAGCAAGCCGGTGCTTACCTTGCAGATCAGTGAGGTCTTGGCCCCAAGTCGAGCAGACTGGACACACTGGTTGGCTCCTTTCCCACCAAAACCAATAAAAAACTTATGTCCAAGGATAGTTTCTCCAGCTCTTGGCAATCGTGTAGTAAGGCTATTCCAATTTAAAGCAATATTTACATGCATTAGTGACTGAAAATAACAAGCATCTTCAAAATAAGAGTTACATTCGTATAATCCTAAATGATACAACAACCAGTCAGTAAGACCAAAAAAGACTCAAAAGGCCTTTTAGGGTCTCTACTCCACACCCCACCAGTTTAAGTTTATTCCTTTATAGGCCACCCAGTCAGGCTTCTTGTTTATTACTCAAGAGAGTAACTGCATTTCTTTTGTTCGTGTTTCATGTTTCTACAGGAAAAGAAGCACTTGATTCCTGCCTGGGATTCCCCAGTGCTAACTCAATGCAGATAAATAATAAATCTATAGTCTCACTGCTCATGTTGTTTTACTGTAACATTCAGATCAAGTTTACACATTGTTCATTTAATTTCATTACATCTAATTATAATTTCTTGAACCACCCTCAGTAATTTTTCACTCTGTTGGTGTTCACACCCCTCCAAATTGTAGATTGGTATCAAAACCTTCCTCCCCTCTGCTGTCACTCAGGAGCACTGTACGTATTTAACTTTTCCCTTTGTTAAGTTTTTCTCTCACAAATCAAGCTTTACAACTTCTTAGCATTTTTTTTTTTCTTGAATACAGTCCAATTACATTGACATCCTTCTGGGGATGGGTGCCCAGAATCAGATGCACTAATACAAGCGGAGACCCATCAGGAGTGTATTCTGGTTTAATTCCCATTTTGGAGAAAAGAAAATAAAACTGTAATTCTGTTAACCCCACCAGATGCTTTGCTATCTCCAGCAGAAGTTGAAAGGAAGGAAAAAGACACCACCGGGACTATGTGGAGGAATTTCTCTTAATCATAGAATCAGCTAAGTTGGAAAAGACCTTCAAGATCAACAAGTCCAACCGTTCTCCTAGCACTGCCAAGGCCACCACTAAACCATGTCACTAAGGGATGCAAATGTCTAGCTTACTTCTGCCACTTCTATTAAAATATGTAACACAAAACTGTGTTTACCTCACCTGTATTACCAAAATTTCTGCCTCCTCAAGCCATACATTTCAGGCACAAAGTTTAAAAATGTAATTCTTTCTATCTCTTAAGCTATAAATAAGTTCACAACAAGTGTGGAGGGAGGGTCTCCTATTACATACTAGTAATCCGTTCAGTCAATGACAGGTCAGACAGGTTTCCAAAAGTCTGCAGGAAAGAAAAGTGGGAAGGGGAATCTGAAGGAACGCAGAGGAATGTGCCCTAATGAGGAAGAGATTAACTTCAGTTCTTTTTGTTAATTTATTACAATATTTTTCCAATAAATGTTACAACAGCTTCAAAGTTGCCAGCCCTCCAGTTCTGAAAAAAGTGACATGCTTCTGCACTAGCAAATCACTACAGAGTGCTCTTTGAAAAGGATATGAAGAGTATGTGTAGATTACTTTCTGAGTTTATGCTGCAACTTCTGAGGCATACTGGAGTTCATGAAATCTTCTGAATTAATGACAGTGTACAGCCTGATTTACTGAAAATTCTCAGGAAAAAGAAAACATTTTTTTCCTTACTAATTTTCCATTTTGGCATCCTTCAGTCCAAAGGTTTAGGATCATTAGGAAATCAAGAAAACCTAAAATTAAACTAGCAAACCCAAACAAGTCCTGAACTCCCCAAAATTCAGATTTTTGCTTTGAAGGAGTTAGGGGGCTGTGCTTCATCAACAGTTACAGTTTCTGGAGAGATGCAGGTGGGGATGCAGTCTCTAAGTAGGGATGCTCACTAACAGACCATCCCAGATTTTAGTGTGAGGGTATGGTATCCAGCCAGCAGGTTTATTTCATGTGGGTGACCACAAATAAACCCCAAAAGACTCACACATACAGCTAATGGCACTCACTTTGTTTCAAGAGAGGCAGAGCTAGGAACATTCTGCTGGGAAATGCTTAAATCATTTTAAATAAAAATACAACAGCCTTTTAGAAGCATACTTATAGGTACCTTATACATGGAAAGGATTGCTAAGTTAAAACTACTCACAGCAGCGTCTGGCAGGTTGCTCACAACCGAGTAACTGTAAGGTTTCAAGGAGCAAGTTGTAATGAGTGTAGATAAATAACGTTGATTAACGGTAACATCTATAATTTATAGCTATTTTCACTATTGGAAGACAAAGGAGTGATGGTTGTGGACCAGAGAATGAAGGCCACAAGTCTCAGCTGAGGAACCTCCTCTTCAGCTAGTGCCAGGGTACTGCATGCACACTTCTAACATCATGTGCAATTCAGTAAGGAATAGTTCTTTCACCCAGGCTTGGTAAGAAATAGTAATAGCAGCTCTTGTATAATTCCTTTCATCCACCGATCTCACTACACTTTAAAAAGCAGAACAAAATCCTTATTCCAACTTCGTGGGAGTGAAACTTAGGCAAGTCATTTTGCCTTTTTGTGCCTTGGGTCAGCCAAGAAGCCAGTGGCAAAACCAAAAATAGAGATCAGCTCAATCCACTAGCTCAGGCAGTCTTCTCATTTAAATTCTGCAGTATGAAAATGGTATCAAGTCTCAATTCATTTTCCTTCCTCAGGGTGCTTTTCAGAGATTACAGCTTATTCTAAATAGAATTTGTTTCCACAAAAAGCTAATATATTTTTAGACAAAGATTAACAATTGCGACATCCCGGCAGACATCTGCTAATAGCGCTGTGCTGAGTTCATATGCATTCTTGAGAAGTACATCCAACCATATGTATTCTTGTTTTAACAGTAACCAGACCACGACTTAACTCTTGTCTCAGTCATGATGCCATCAACATGCAACCCCAATGGACGCATTGTAATTGCACTGGTGAAAAAAAGGGCTTGGTGAGATGAGAATCTGGGCCTCAATGTTTCAAGCAGCATGGCACAACAACTGCCTGTGGGAATCAAACAGCTTCTTGAAGATGGGGAGATGACCTTTTTAATTGTTTTGACAGAAAGGTACAAGGCAAAGGGCAAAGGATCAAGTTGGAACAGTAATTTATAATTAGCCAATTTTAAAAATAGGCTAACAGACTAGGCAAGACCAGACACCAGGCCCCTGTAGCTCACTGTAAACAAACCTTCACCTTATTACATTTCAGGCATGACTGCCAATCCTTTCAGAATAATTCTCCAATTCTTTATTCCAGAAGCCTATTTTTATTTCCCATATTATTGATCTACATATAAGTCTGGAGGCTTCACTTTCACTGAAACTGGTGTCCCAGATTCTTATTTTTTGCTAATATAATACTATTCTCTTGTCATTTTGTTGTGCAACTCTACTAACTTTTGATTCACATCAGAGAATATTAATGAGCATTTCGGGCTTCTGTTATGAGCAGGCAATGATGAGTAATCTGTATGATTAAGGAACCCTATAAATTCTTGGCTTATTAATGGTGCCACAAATAATACTCAAAATAGCCTAAAAATGATGAAACAGCTAATGTTACTCCAAAACTCGGCTAAATAAGTTAATTAGAAAAACTGTCACATGGGCTTTCAGAACTGTTACAAAAATGTTTTGTAAAGCCACTTTACAACTTTGACGTCATTTGAAAACACTGAGCTGATAAACCTAATATAAGTTGCTATCAAACAGACTGCTCTTTACTTATGTGATAATTTCTGCTCAGCCTTGAGAAAATAAATGGGTCAAAGGATATTGAGCTTTTAGGTCTTATTGAAAAACCAGGAACTAAACTTGAAAATCCCCAACACTTACTGATGTGAAATAAAATTGCTATATAATGTTTTGCAAATTGTGCACCATACTACTGAATCACATTTATAGAGGGAAGTTCAGACTGAAGCATCCTGAAATACTTTGGACATTACAAAGGAAGGAATAGAATCACTCAGTATTTCAACTGAGTTTCTACAAAACATTTAAATGTAATGCACACAGCAATGCTGCCCACATTTGTTCATGAGAAATGAAAAATCTTAGAGCAACTTATGTTTCAGAGGTTTGGGATGAATAAAAGCACACGCATTAGAATTTCACCAGTGTAGTAACTTCAACCCTCTCTTCCAGTAAGTATGTGCCACAAGTTGCCTTAGAGGCGATTGCTGAGTAGTGTTCATATTTTTAGACAGACAACCCTTCTGAAGGATGGCATTAGAAACTGCACAGAACCTTTACCACTGTGTTGAAGCACTGAATCAGAGGTGAATGTGTAACTTAGTGAGTCACTAATGCCACTCTTCCTGGTACTCTGGGTTTTCTTGAAAAGTTCCCATCTAAGCAGTGACTAGATCATATTCAGAGATAGAAAGTCTAAAGAAGAAGGAAGGGGAAAGGAAGAGATGTATACCTGCAGCATTTGCATAAATCAATCCTGAAATTAATCATGGTTTGCTTTCGATTCTTGACACCTAACCAGGGTCTGCTCACTGTTTTCAACACATAAAGATGTATTATTATCATTATCTTAAGGTGACGTAAAACCTCGCCCTCCCCTCAACAGCATTTTTGCACTGTTTCTCTTGAATTGCTTGTATTGCTCACAGAGCTTCCTAATTCAGATTTTTTTTGCTCATAGGATAGTTTTAATTTGGATCAGCAAATTGGTCCAACTTAGCGTACAACAGCCAGGGTGGGCCAGAATTGCAGGACTTAGGAGAAGGTGAGTGAGGGGAGGACCAGGAGTGTCCTTGCTGGCAGCAGTGCAGCCAGACTGCCCTAAGCCCCTCTTGAAACTTTGACTTGATATTACTTTGTATGTTTAAAACACTGAATGCCATGTAACTAAGGCTTAACTAAGAAGTCCAATATACTTAGATTATTAAACATACTGAAGAAAAGCATAAAGTATCAGTATGTTCCTGAGAAATGACATGTGCATGAGAAAAGAGACAAGTACATAAATACTTTTCTCTTAAAAAACAATATTCTCATCGGGCAACTCATAAGAGAAGAGAATTTGTACATTATCTGAGGTGACTGTCATTTATACGGTATCAGGAGAAATGCTCAGACTTGGGTTTTTATTCCTGAAAAAAGGAATACTATTAAAATAGTAGCAGAATGCCACAGTGTCTTAAGGAAAAGGAATATAATGTAAAGGTCTAGAATTTAGCTTTGATTCTCCTCTGTTTGACTCACTGAACAACACTGGCTCTTTCTACCCTCTTGGGAATTCCCTAGAAAGAGGAAAATCCCTGTGAGATTAGAGTTACATACAATTTACTGGACTTTCATGATTCTCAGAACTAAACAAAGAAAGGAGGAAACAGCTCTTGCCTCTAACTAAGAATATTAGCACAATATTGTGGTGAAAAAAATCTTAGACCTCTTTTGAATCTGGCTTAATGTTTTGGTTTAGCCTTGTTCTGTTTTGTCTAGATTAATTTCTAAAGACTTGAACATGTGCTATGGGAAAATATCCATAACACAGAGACAAAAAGACCACAATTCTTTTCAAAATCTGATGTTCTTGGCTCATAGATGCTTGCATCCCTTTTAATAATCCACTAAAACATCTTATTGGAAGGTAGAAAACATCCAAGATTTATAAGGAGACTACCTCAGGAATTTAGTTAACTAGAGCTTGGTTTAAGTATGGGGCTATCCAGTTCTAGGTTCTTAGATCTTTAGTGACTGAGAATAAAAGTTACAAGACAATTAGAAATCATAGAAAATCTCTGTTTTTTTCTTCCCCCTATGTCCCTGCACATGCCAAGTTTTTCTTTAAAAAAAAAAACCCAAAAACTTTCCATA